CCCTTCAGAGTTTAAAATCAGTGAAGCCTGGGGCATTGATAGGTGGAGATCATGAAATTCAGATCCAAAGTGGATTCACAAGTAAGTGAAGAACAAGCATCATTAGTCAGCAAAGTGTGGTAGACAAACTTCCAAGACACCCCCACCACCTCCAGGTTCCTGGCCCCTGGTGTTCTCCCAAACACCAATCAAATATTAAACTAGGTGCTGCTGCTGCTGCTTCTATTTTAAAGAGAACTATCCACCTCTAATCTTTACAGGGTTTTAAAAAATATATTATTTATTTTTAGACAGAGCAGAGAGAGAGGAAGAGAAACATCAATGTGTACCTGCCTCTTGCGCACCCCCTACTGGGGACCCAGCCCCCAATCCAGGCATGTGCTCTGACTGGGAATCAAACTGACAACCGTTTGGTTTCCTGGCTAGTGCTCGATCCATTGAGCAACACTAGCCAGGGCTAAACTAGGTGCTTCTGTGAAGAGATTTTGCAATTATAATTAAGGTCACAAATTAGTTGACCTTCAAATAGGGAGATTATGTTAAGTAGGTGTGATTTAATCACATGAGCATTAGAAAAGCAGAGAATTTTCTCTGCTTGTCTCAGATTAAAAGTCATAGATGTGTTCTGGCTGCCCTGGAAGGAAGTGAAAATCTATGTGAGCTGCCTATTGAGACCACAAGCCAAGGACTGGCAGGCACCCTCTAGGATCTGAGAGGGGTCCCTGGCTGACTAGAAGGAAAACAGGGACGCTCAGTCCTGCAACCTCACGAAAATGACTTCTGCTGACAACCAGGGAGCTTGGAAGCCCAGGTGAGAACTGCAGGCCCACTCAGACAACATCCCAATTCCTGCCCAGTGCAATCCTGAGCAGAGAATCCAGCCATACCAATCCCGGATTTCTGGCCTACAGAAACCATGAGACAATCAGTTTGTGTTGTTTTAAGCCGCAGGTTTCTGTCATTTGTTCTGCAGCAACACAAAACGAATCCACTAAGGAAATATGAAACTTCAATTGCTGAATCGCAAGAAGCAGAACCTCTGGGTATGGCTGTGGGTGTGCAATATATAGTCTCTGGGCATCATTTACATTGTTGTCCACGGGAATGACGCCCTCTGAAGTGGGTAACGCACGCCCAGCACAACCATACACAGCAGTCCTGCAGGAGACTCCACCCTGGCCTTGTTCCAGCATCTAGGCTACTTCTTTAAACATCTTTTGCCCTTAGTACAAATGAGAGGGTTGGGCTAGATGTACCCGAAGGTCCATATAAGCTTAATATTGGGAGCATTTAGTGTATTTTGTGACTCCTCTATTACACACTGGCCCCTCAGTTTATCTACAGCTCTTTTCAATTTCAACCTCTTGCTTCATGTAAATAAGTTTGCCCACTGTCTTTGCTTTTTCCTTAAGGAGCTGCCACCATGCTAATGAGTATGGCTTTGAGGATTGGACAGCCAGTAGCTCCCTGGGGAAGAAACCACAAGGAAACTTCCCTCCCCTTCTTCCTTTTGATTAGGAGTGAACCCAGGAAATTTAGCTTTAGAGTTCAGGAGGCTTAAAATCAGTGGTTAAAAGTTCTTTTCTATCAGTCTCTTAGATAGATCAAAACATCGGTGGTGGTCACTTCGTGGAAGTGCTCATTCACCCATTGACTAGAAAGGCAGCTTAATAATGAAAAATAATAAAGTGACAAAACCGGAGTCCTTCAGGTGAGCCTTGACTAAGTACCTAAGAAAATGAGCCTGTCTCACAGAGAGAGATGGGATATGTAGTTAAAATTAACTAAGGCAAAAATAAGTTATTGAAAACTAGGTAAGTTAAAAAGTCATACTGCAAAGCGAGCAAAGTTAAAACTTGAAAACAAATCCATAATCAGTGATTACTCCAAACTCCCCCTCTCCATTTCAGCCCAATTGTTCCCACTAAGGTGTTACTCTCAAGGTATCAGCTGCTGTGAGTGCTCCAAAGGTAGTCAGTATTTTAAGACAAAGTACAGCTTTGAAATCCTAGACTCTCCAGGTAACATATTTAAACTCTATGATCCTGTTTCTTTGATGGTATTTCAAAGTCTTATAAGGATCAGATAAGATCATGGGTGTGAAACACCCTTGCTAAGTGCCAGCATGTTTAACAACCAGTAACTCTTACTAGAAAGGCAACCCTGAAACATACTGTGACAGATTGTAGGAAAGAAAAAACATGGATAAAATAGTGAATTTTTCATAAAAATATTTTTCATAAACTTATTCAAACAAATGGACTATTGTTATCCTTTATCCTAGTGTTCCTTTTCATTGTTTTGGTGTCAAAATGTCTTCTTGTTCATGAAATAATTACAGCTTTTCAATATATTCCTGGTGTGTAAAATACAAGATTGGGAGTCAGGGTTCAAGAGGAAGATTGTACAAGTGGAAAAGGTGCCCTGACTAGTGTGGCTCAGTTGGCTGGGCGTTGTCCTGCAAAACAAAAGGTTGCCAGTTCAATTCCTGGTCAGGTCACATGCCTGGGTTGCTGGTTCCGTCCCTGATTGGGGTGCTTATGAGAGGCAACCGATCAATGTTTCCCTCTCTTTCTCCTTCTCTTATCTCTAAAAATAAATAAATAAAAATCTTTAAAAAAAGAAAAAGGAAGTGGAAAAGGCCTTAAAAGACCTGCAATTCTTGGAGAAGGTGGATTTAAGTGAACTGGGATGACCTGAGGATTTTTACAAAATTATCCACACTCAGCTCTTAATAGCATTGAATTAGAAAACTGGTGTCCTACAAAAAGATAAAAAATTTGGGATTGGGATTCAGAATACAAGAGCTCCAACACAGGAATGACTAAGGAAAGTCCCAAAAACTGCCCCTAGGCATCAGGCCTGGACAAGAACCAATTGGGAGGACAATGTAATTAACCCCAGGAAAGCAGCACTTGCCTCTGAGAGAAAGCCATCAGGCCACATATAATCTATGCGGTGGGTAGCATTTATGCTCATTGTATCAGTCAGTGTTCTAGAAATCATGTGGTACCGAGATAAAGCAGTGACCCATAGCCAGTAGTGAGAGACGTTATCACCCCTAGACCTGAAAGGACCAGGAGAGAGGGTTAGTGGAAACTGAAGCGAGGCATGAGGAGTTGGCCACCGTGAAGCGCATTTATTCTGAGGAACACAGTTGGTCTGAAGAGGCCTTGGAGGGATGGAGCCACGGGAATAAGTAGGCTGGCCCCACTCCTTCCTTCCTATCCCTGCTGCAGATCCCCATGGGCCAAACCCACGGGAACCCACCAGAGGCCACAGGAAGTCTGTTGATGTGGTCCGTGCACCTCTCTTGGGCAGGAAAGTAGGGAGAAAGGAGCACAGATCTGGAGAGGCAAATGGAAGACATGTGCACACTCATCATGATATAAACACCGATTAATGGCTTAACCAAAATTTACAAAAACTCACAGAGGATGTGTGGGAGTAGAGGGAGGGCAGTGTAAGACAGCTATATCTCAACCATGGAGGAAGTCAGTAATGTGGAAAGCTGACAGCTCCAAAAATGGCAGTGTGTATATACTAGAGATAAAATATGAGAGAGAGTAAAGTCTTTGGGGTCTAAGGGAGTAGGGACATTATACATCTTGCAGTATTATGATTTAAAAAAATGGTATATTTAATAAAAACATAAATTTTAAGAAAGTTGCTAGAAGGCTATACAAAAAAATTAAGAGTGGCCCTGGCTAGGTGGTTTGGTTTGTTGGAGCATCATCCTGTGTACCAAAAGGTTGTAGGTTCGATTCCCAGTCAGGGCACATACCTAGTTTGCAGGTTTGATTTCCAGTCGGGGTGCCTACCAGAAGGCAACAAATTGATGTTTCTCTCTTTCTTCCTTCTGCTCTCAAAAATTAATAAATATATCCTTGGGTGAGGAATAAAAACCCCCCAACTAATAGTAGTTACATTTGTGTAGCTGGAATAAGGGAATGAGAGTAGTAAAAGAACAACTTTTCATTTTACTTTCTGTTGCATTGTTTTACTATGAACACGTATATTTATAATGTAGTTTTTATACCTTAAATAACAAACTGAATTAATCAACTAAATTTAGTTCTAAAGGGAATTTATCTTATCCCCCAGGTGGGTTAGGGCAGGAAAGCCGAAACCTGCTGATTTCTATCAAAGGAAGTCCAGGGGGAATCAGTGACTTGATCAGACATATAACTTAACAGAGCCTCGGTTAGGACCGCAGGACTTCACTGGTGACAGAGACAGAAGTCCCTTCCAACTCCTCTGCCTCAGGGGACTAAAGGAATATGATATAATGATATGGCCCATCACCTCTGAACATGTACAGGTCCCTAAAGTGAAGCAGCCCGGTGTGAAAGACTATATACAAGGCCCAGGCTGGCGAAGAACTGCCCAGTCATGTCACTGCTGTTGAAAACCACTAAGTTTTGGAGTGTCTTGTTGTACAACAATAAATAACTGATATAATCTACTCTTAAAAATATATATATAGTTGTCTCAGAACTACTCAGATACCATCACACTATTATAAATTCTGCTTTCTGATGTGGTTAAAAAAAAAAAGTCCTTTTTTAAAAATATTTAAACTTAAACAGAAAAAAACCCAGCAACAGCTAAACTGAATATTTAATACATTTTGTTGGAACATAAGGAATGCAACAAGGATTAGAATTTTATATCCATTAGACATTTATGTAAAAGGTGTTCCATTTTTTTCTAAAAAACTTTCCTCTGTTTCCTGTCTTCGCTATTCTCTAGCATAATAACCAGAAATCACTACTCTTGTAGATAAGGGGCTCCCCTGTGTTGGGCAGTAATTGTAACTTCACATTTCAAGTCATTATCATCTCCAAAACCTCCCTTTCATTTCACCACAGTCTCACTGCACTGCCTTACAGTAAAAATATACTCTCTTTACTTAAATTTGAAGAGCCTGAACAAAAGCTAGAAGCCCAAGGATGTTTAGGTACTGATTTAGTAACGGTGTCCACTGGCGTAAATCTTCCATTTATTATCAAAACTGCAATAATAGAAAAGAAAGCTACTTTAATGAGAAAGGAACTTAGAAGTGAGATCATTAAATATTACTAAATACATTTTAAATATAAATACCATGTGTTTCCTGATTAGTATCAGGTAAATACCTAAACTATCTATCCTGAATTCTGATCTAAGAGAAAACGTCAGAGACAATTACAAAGAAGGTGCTTCAAATTATTAGGTCCATTTTGAAAACAACGCGGTGAGGTCCTCTGGGACAATCACTTTAGTCTTTCTTTTTATCAGAGACTTCTGTTGGCCCTTTTGCTGGTAATCCATTCATGTCTGCACCCTAAAATGAAAAACCATTTTAGAGATTATTACAACACAAAGACATCATCACAAGAGATACTGTCTTTGAAAACAGTTGACAAACTTCAGAATGAAAAAAAAAAACCTCTGCTTCTAGAAATGTGTGGGATCATGCAGGGGTGTCCAACTTTTTAGCATCTCTGGGCTACTCTGGAAGAAGAGTTGTCTTGGGCCACACAGTAAATACATGAATGCTAATGAAAATTAATGAGCAAAAAAATGGTTTTAAGTAAATTTACAATTTTCTGTTGGGCCGCATTCATAGTCATCCTGGGCTGAAGATGACCTGAGGGCTGCGAGCTGGACACCCCAGCAGTGTAATTAAACAGAACCGAAGTTGAACATGACAAGAACCAATGCTAAAGACAACATGTTGTCTAAATGTTAATTTAAAAAAAATTATATGAAAAAAAAACCAACCTTCTATGATCCTTCCAATTAAGTCTCCTACCAAAGTTATCAATCACTGAAACTGGCTTATTTTAGTATCATCTCTTCTCATCCATTAGCTATTTATCATTACTCTCACTGGGGAGTAAATACTATTTATTATCTTGGCCATAAGGCAAGTCACAAATGCATTATCAGAGGCCTCGTTTAAAACCTGTTTAAATCAAATGTTAATCACTTAAAAAAACAAAACCAACCAAACCCCTAATTTTTAAAAAGATGGAAGTTAAGACACATTGATGAAGCTTCTGGTTCCAAGAATCTGCCTTTCCAAAAGCCAAGTATTTATTTCACCCTGACTGTACCATGCCCTTCACCCACCGTTCCTTATTCGAGGCACTTTAATGTTCTCACCTTGTAGTCTACTTTGCCTTGGCTTTTATCATTGGATTCTTGTACAGCTTTTCTAGGCCATATACGACTAACAAAGGGGGAAATAAGAGGGTATATGTATGGCTCCAGGAACTTTTTGTAGACCCAGAGCAGAACTGGAATGACGATACACGGAATGCACACCATTGTCCCAGGTGGAGCTCTTGAAACGCTGATAGCTGCAAAGAAAAAACAAATTAGTTTATCATACATTGATGGCTGGAGAAATTTGCCTAGATTAAGATATTTGAAAGGATGATTTTTACATTGAATGAAAAACTTAGATCATACTAATGGCTAAAAGCAAGAATCTGCAAGGTAAAGGAATAAAACGGTGGTAGACATGAAGATAATGGTGAGGTTCCTGCCTCCAAATTTCTCCAATCACTGCTCCCAACTATAAATTTAATAATAAAGATAAGACACCAACATTTGCTAGGTGTTAGGCAGTTCAATGTTTTGCATATACAGTTGGCCTTCTGTAACCCCAGGTTTTATATCCATGTAGTCAACCAACCCCAAACTGAAAACATTTTGGGAAAAATATCCCAGAAAATTCCAAAAACCAAAACTTGAGTTTGTCATGCACAGAGCGCGTCACTGAATCCATGCAAATGAAGTTATATGGAGACATACTTCAGTCTCTTTACCAATACTACACCATTTTACACAGGGGACTTGAGCATCTGGGGATTTTGGTATGGGGTGGGGTATGGTGGTGGGGTGTCCTCGAGCCAATCCCTTGAGGGATAACTGTACAACTCATTTAATCCAAAACCCAGTTGAGGTTGGGTACCCTTGCTCTCTTAATTTACACATAAAGCAAAGGAAAGCACAAAACACTGAAGAACTTGGTAATTATGACTTACACTCCAGTTTACTATAAGTATAATGGCCCAGTCACCTTCAAAGACTGACAAACCTACAAGGCTAAGGGCAAAGTTGTAATAGTGAACTCTCTGAGATACCACTTACGAAGAAGACCTCAAGGCTGTAAACTGGCTAACCTCTTCCGGGCAACAACTCTCCCTTGATACAACTGCTCTTTTTTTTAATGGCAATTAAGGCACACCATGTAATAAAAAATGTTATTTAGTATGATTTTTATAACAGAATTGTTTATTTCCAAGAATTTACAGTATCTTATTTTCTTGATAATTAAAATCATCTTGGAATTTCCCAAAATCAGCTATTTCTTAAAAAAAAAATAACAAGTACTACTCCCACAATATACTATACTATTAAGCCAAAAACTTAAGTTTTACAAGAGCCTTTTTTTTTTTTTTAATCCTCACCTGAGCGTATGCTTTTCGATTTTAGAGTGAAGGAGAGGGAGGGAGAGAGAGAAAAACAATGACAAGCCTCTTGTAGGTGCTCTGATGGGGGACCAAACCACAACCTAGATCAGCCCCGGTAATCGAACTGGTGACCTGTTAGTTTACATGATGTTGCAACCAACTGAGCCACATCGGCCAGGTGATTTTCAAGAGTTTTTAATCGCTTAGAGTAGCCTTAAAAACTAAGAAGCTTCAGAACACTGAATAAAGCTAGTAATTCAGGATGTTAAAATGTCCTATTTTCAAAACTTTGTAAATTAAGTATTATGTACCAGCAAATGAGTGAGCATCATGACTCCACTGAATTTTAAATCATTCACAAGACGAATAAACAACAGCATAGACAATTCAATCTTAATGACTTTGAAATGAATTATAAGAGCTATAAACAAAAATCCAAATATGTACCAATGAAGGACCAGCTATTTTACAAAGGATTCATAACTGGATCCTTTAAAAAGGTTCCTTAGTCAAATTAAAGTAACAACTTACCAAAAAATTTTAAAGTCAAATGAGCAGTGGGTCTTTTTCACCATTTCTCAAGGAATCCTTATGCTTGGCCACAGCCATTTAGAATCTGATCTGGAGAGATTTAAGAGGTGGTCTGGTTTAGGAGCTGTACTCTCAGAGGTACCACCGCACAGTAATCAAGAGACTGGCTGGCAGCTGCCTGCATTTGGGGCCTGCTTTCCCCATTTTCTACATGGTATTCTTGGGCCTTAATTCCCTCATGTGTATAGACAGTAAGAGTACCAATCTCACAATGATGTGGATTAATTTAATACGCATACAAAACCCAAAAGAGTGTCTGTATATACTAAGTGCTATGTGTGGTTACTAAAATAAAATAAAATTCCAGAAGTTGTGACCTGTCCCAAGTTCACACAAAGGTAACTAGTAACTACAGCTGGTTACGGCCAGAATTCTGAGGTTTGGTTTCCTAGCTCAAGGCTTTTGTCTCTTCCCCTTCCAAAAACACAATGATTGTTAATTCCCTTCCTGCCAAACCTTCAAAACCAACTAAACCTTTCAAAATGACTGGCAATGCTCTGAGCACGTCAAGGTTGATGACTGGCAATCCCTCCATCATAAAGATTCCTTTTTACCTTCTTGCAATTGTTGTGTTTTAAGTTTGTATGAACTGTTTTAAATAAACGCTGGAGAACAAATAGTACTAATCAGTCTTGTCATAATTATGGTTTTTAAAAAACTTTTTAGCTCTCTTCAGAAATGAAGCTACTTGATTTCATTTCTTAATCTTCATAATGATTCTTCGGTGACTTGTTTGCCTTCATTCATGTGGAAACTGGCTTAGAAAAGTCTAGGAGCTGGCTATGATAAATTGATAAAATTCTCAGATTACTTAATCTCTACAAACCAATTCTCGGATACTGCAACAAAGCAAGCGAAACGGATTAAAACTGTTGGAAGTGAGGAATTTTCTTTCATTCGACGTAGTCCAATACAATAGAATAGACAAGAAAAGGTCGTGGCTCTATCAGAAATAGAGCAGGTCAATGCGGAACGCCACTTCCCTTTAAGTTACCCAGCGCAGCGTATCATATTACCGGAGATGAGAGAAGACAGGTTGAGTGAAAGACCACGACTGAAAAAGACAGGAGAGGAAGGGCAAATGGTGATGAAGATAAGAGGAGGGCGAAGAAACCGACAGTTCAGGCCAAGAGAATAAACGGTCATAAACGGAGAGGCAGAACAAGAAGCTAGGACGGTGGGTGACGCAGACGGAGGGAGTGGTGAAGGGCGAGGGAGGTCGGGCGAAAGGGGCGCGCCGGAGGGCGTAGTGGGGTACTCCAGGAGAGCGCCGGCGGGCCGCGAGGGGCCCAGGGCAGGAGAGCCGCGACCGGGCGGGGCTCGATCAGTGTGGCCCGGCTGGAGCCTGCGATGCAGCGTGCCAGCGCCGAAGCCACAGCCCACCCCATGCCCCATACCTCCCGCCGAACGCCCAAGCCCACCCAGGCCCACTCACCCGCGACCGCCAAGCCCAAGTGGAAAGGTCCGCGTTTCCGGAGGGAGGGACGTGCCGCAGCCGAGCCAATGGACACCGCAAAAAGGGCTGCTAAAGACGCGCCTGCGCCAGCTTGACGACACAGAAGACGTATCCGTGACGTCGGGGTGGGGACTGGGCGCTGCAACTGTTAATAGCCAGGCCCAGGGGCGGAGTAGCTGAGCTTCGCAGATGCTCCGCGCGTTAGTGCGCTTCCCGTCCTGAAATAGTAGAACTGAAAACATGACCCAAGAAATAACGCCTGCGCCAATGGTTCGCCAGCGTAGGGGAGTTACACCGCTTGCGGGAGAGCCAGGGCGTTCTCAAACGCAGGTGTGCCTGAACCATCCCTCTCCTAAGGGAGTTTAAGTTCAAGAGCAGGAGACATTAACTATAATTGGCTATTCGTTTTAAGAAATGTCTGTAAACAGGGGCGGGCTGGGTAGATGAGGGCAAAGGGGTAAAAAACTGGGATAACTGTAATAGTATTATTTTTAAATAATGGGTATACCACTGCACTGTTACTGGTATTGAGGATGTGGAGAGAACTGGTTACCTTCACTCGATGCTGGTGGTATCTGTAAATGTAACTGCTTTGGGAAATCTGGTTGTTGCCCATGATCCATCAAGTCCCCTCTTGGGACAAACTCAAAGGAAATGGCAATATGCCCCCAAACTTACAAAGGTTCACAGCGGCATTATTTGTTGTAGCAAACCATCCCCCTCCCCCCAAAAAACACCCCAGATGTTCAACTAATACAGTAGTATAGTGATACAAATGATTTATCAGTAAGCACAGGTACATGGATAAACCCTAAACACTAAACTAAGTCACAGCCAAGTGGCAATGGGCCACATACTGATTTCTTCTGACATGTCCGCACAGACCAATCTGTAGGCAGGTGGTTCCCTAGGGCTGAATGGGAATGACAGCTAACCTCTGCCGAAGTTCCTCTTCCGGATGATCAGAACGTTCTAACACTGACAGAACAATGCCCATATACAAAGATCCACTGCTCTGTGTTAAATCTCAAAGTGGCTGAAAAGTTTTCTGAATTTCCCCGTGTTCTAATTCCATCTCACGCAAAAAAAAAGCAAGACATTCAAAACAGTATGTTTCTAAATCAAAATTAACAGCGAGCAAACAATCTGTTTTTAATTCTAATCAGAAAAAAAATGACCACTTGAAATAAATTTACTAATAAAGACAACCAACGTTCTGCTTTTACTTTTACTAGTATTTATTTTATTTATTTTATGCGGACTTTACTCCCGAGCCATAAGTTTTTGTTTCTTCAGTTTCTTCTGGGATATCTGGGGAAAGAAAAAAAATAAAAAGGACTAAGTATCCCAAAGGAACTCACATTACATCCTAAAGGAATAGGTCTCAGTGAAAAGAATCAGAAACTTCAACATAAAGGTAAAGAGTTCTGTGTATGAGTAAGCAGGGAATGAGTTTTAAGCTGAAGTTCAGTGAAAGCAGGGACACCAGGTGGTAAGGATTCCAATGGCGGGAAGGAAGGAGGGTATTTAAGTGACACCAACTCACAATGCTGTGAGATACATGAGAAGGTCAGAGTAAGAAAGAGTTCTTGTCATGAAGAGTTATTTTTTTCTCATTTTCTTCTTTAATCCTCACCCAGGAATATTTATTATTTCCTGAGAGAGGAAGCGGGGGGAGAGAAACTTTAGCTGATTTCTCTCCTGTTCACACCCCAATCAGGGATCAACCCTGCAACCTTTTGATGTATGGGATGATGCTCCAACTGAGCCACTAGGCCAGGGCTTTCCTTTCATTTTTACTTTATCTACGAGGACCTACTGTGGTAGTCATTTCATAGTATATGTAAATCAAACCACCATGCTGTCGTCTATACCTTAAAGTGGCGAAGCAGTTACCGTATTTTGCTGTGTATACGCGTGCCCATGTTTTTGGCCCAAACTTTCATAGGGGGAAAAGAAATCTTTCATTTTGACTTTTAAATTCTACTTATATTTGTATTTAGACACTTGTTCTTTGTATTATTGTATTTTGCATACAGACAGTGTTATTGCTTCCTAGAGTTACACTTTTAACACAAGCATAAATAAAATAATTAAAAACATCTATATACGTAAGGAATTAGTACCACCTGTGTATAATGCACACCCTTATTTTCCCTCAAAAAGTTGGGCAAAAGTGCGTATCATACACAGCAAAATACAGCATTTCTAAAAAACAAAATAAAAAACACTGCACTATCATTGTTTACTGGAAATAGGCTTTTTAGGATGGGGGGGTGTTTTTGGGCATGTTGCATTTGAAGTGGCTATGGACATCAAGGTGGGGCTATCAGCAGATTATTACAGTTCCAACATACTGAATAGTATACAAGTTACTGTTTACTATTAGTCAAGAAACAAGACCCATGAAAGCCCAAATAAAATACAGTACTGCCGGTTGCTCAGAAGAGTTTCCTTTCACGGTTATTCCAAAGGTGTCCTAAGTTAGTCATCACAGCAACCACAAATCTAATATACACGACTGAATCTGAGTAACAACTAAGTAATTCACCTTTTTCTTCTGTGCAACTTCCTCTTCTGGTTTAGGAACAATCTGTTCTTTTTCAGTGAGGATCATCTCAATGTGGCAGGGAGAGCTCATGTATGGGTTGATCCGCCCATGAGCTCTGTAGGTTCTACGTCGCATCTTGGGAGCTTTGTTCACCTGGATGTGCTCAATGACCAGAGAATCTACATCTAAACCCTGGGACACAGGGATAGGGAACACAGTCAGGTAACATCTTTATCATAACACCATTATTGGAAAATTAAGTCCCAGCCTTAATGAACTCAGTTTGGAATGGCAACCCTTATGAGTTTATATAGCAGTATTTGTTCAAGCAGTTTTTTCAATTTTATTCTAAACGTCCTTCCTTAAAATTAAATCTAAGTAACTACCAAAACTCAGTGCCAAGTGCATGTTAAAGATCATTAATAGCAGTGTCAATTTCTAAAATTAGATGATAAACAAGATTTTGTCATCATGGCCTAATAGTTAAAAGGGTTATAGCCAGAAGCTCGCATTGGATAAACCTGCATTTTGTCAACTACATCAGGTTAACTTCTAAGTGAAATTTAACCTCTCCATTAATAGTGTAGGCAACAAACCACATTACCCATTACTAAGGCATTCATTTTGGTAAATATATTTGTTCTTTTGCAATCGTGTTTTATTGTTTGTATAATAAATCCAAACAGCAACATTAGTTGAACCACCACCCAAGCTGGATACATATAAAGATGTTAATGCTCTGCGTACCTTAAGTTCAGCATTACTCTCTGCGTTTTTAAGCATGTGGAGCAAAAACTCAGCACTCTTTTTGGGCCACCGACCCTGTGTCCAGCCCCACTGTTTGGCCTGAAAGAAAACATAGAGAGGGTATTAGTCATTTCCCGATTTAAATCCAATGTTACAATCAAGATGATTTACAGGGCACGCTCTCTCCTGGGATCATGTCCTCTCCTTTCCCTCCCCTCTCCTCCCCCACAGGCACTCATCTCTGAAACTCTAAGGGACCCCTTGAGACTTGCACCTTGGGGAGGCACGGGCCCTGGCTGCTCCTCTCAGGCTCACTAAACCCTGGAACCTGTCTCCAAGGCCCCCATTTCTCTGACTTTCCAGAAAGTGACAGCAGGCCCACCTTGGCTCTCCCCGTTGCTTCTGTTCTAAGCCCTTCCTTGTTTCACTGCCCCCAGCTTTAATAAATGTACTCTCAAAAGTAAAAAAGAAAAAAAAACCCAAGATCGTTTACTTCAAGGCTGCTCAGAACATGGTTTTTTTTCACGGTTTATCCAAAGGTGTCCTAAGACTGTCATCACAGCAACCAGAAACAGCTCGATTAAACCCCCACCATCCTCATTCCATCCAATCATTTTCTTACGATTTGTCTTTTCAAACAGCGGCCATTAATTCTCACCTGGGCACACCTACCAACTCCACCGTTGTATCGACGGAATGGGACACACTGCTTCTTCAAAGTGACATCTTTCAGATACTTGGTGGCTTTTCGAATATGCATACCCTTGATGGCCTGGGCAGTTTCACGGGTGTTCTAAATATAAATTGGGAGTTACCTTTTTAAAGCATCACAACTTTTAAAGTAAACATTAAGTCCTTAGATTCTCAAAATGTCAATGTTTATCAACAGGCAAAACCTTCCCATTTTAATGGGAGCTGGGGGTGAGTCCGTGATTAAGGGCCAAGGAGACTTGGTTTGAACCTCGGGAAAAATGAATCCACAATCTATTTACTGTAATGTTTTTAATTCCATCATCTTTTAACAATTATGTGTCCTATAGCTTATCCTATACACGAGGTTCTCAAGTAGTTCTCTGGTAGTTTTTACCCAAGTGCACACATCCTAAATCAGAGTGGTCATTACACGCTGATGTTCAATATCTAGAAGGTGGCTGCTCAGAATAGATGACTTTTCATGGTAAATCCAAAGGTGTCCTAAGAAAGGCATCACTGCAGCTACCCTTCCAGAATGGTTAAACAAACAAAAAAACCCACTCACTGGAACACGCAAAACGACTCTTTTCGAGCTCTTTTCGAGCATAACTACGATTGACATACCTTGAAGTGAACCCGAAGGTTTGAACCTCGTGATTTGCATGCTAAAAAACAGAAAACGTTTTGGTTAATTTGGGCTATGTCATTGTTTCTCTTAGGCCAAATTAAGAAATCTGTCACTCTTGTTCACTTACATTTTGTGGGGTTTTCTGGGTCAAGTGAATAGCGAACCATCTTCAGAGGTGACCTGGAAGGGAGCAGGGAGTGATCGTCCGTACAGATTTAGATTTCCACGGTACCTGACAGTCTAACCCTGTATTAAATGCTGCCGGCAGCTGCTCAGACGGTGGTTGTTTTCATGATTAATCCAAAGGTGTCCTAAGAAATGCCATCATCGCAGCCATCGTTTTCTCCCTCCGGGGCTTCCTTTCCCCTTACACCTACCAGTAACGGCAGACAGCAGTGCGGACAACAGACTAACTGACACCGACTTCATCAGCCCCCTCTGACTCTTTGTATGGGAATGAGCCTGTATTAATGCAACGGTGGATTCTTCAGGCGTAAAAGACACGGGACCCTGGGGTGGCAGAACTCAACCACAACCCGCGACAGGCTGGCTCCCTTCCCACAGAAGCCCCCTTTACTCACACAACTTCACAGGTAATGCTGTCTTTCCACACTTTTGTGCTTTAACCAACGTTAAACGCTGGATAATTTGAAACTCTCAAGGTGAGCCAAGGCTGGACCCGACTTTATTTCCCTCCCCTCCCCCAATATCGCTGAGGGCACAAACGCGCTCCATATTCGATCGCCACTCACCGCGAGACACTGGACCTCCAGATTAGGAGGCAGCACCGACCACAGGCTGTTCCTAACCCCAGAGCCCCCATTCCTGCCCATCGCGCCCCTTTTCGGGCCGCAGGCCTCGGGGCGCCAAGTAGGGCGCTCCGACATGTCCCCCCGCAGAGAGGTACACCGCCTCTAGCGAGAAATCAGTAACTGCAAGAGTTTTCCTCCCGGGGGCTTCGAGATTGACGCCCACGAAGCCAGGATGGAGGGGATGACCTGAGGATTCAACACCATGAGAGTCACAGAAAAGCCACTCACCTCTGGTCGCTTCTGGGAAGAGGAAGAGCGGAGGCTACTGGGAGATTTCACGAGAACTCAACATCTCGCGAGATCTTCAGCCAAAGAAACGAGATTTGAAGAGGGGAGGAGGGAGGAGAAAGGGAGTGTGCGATATGTTTTAGAAGACGTTAAAACGAAACGCCTCCTTAGGGACTGTCTCAAAATTCTCCTTTTTTGGAATCCAAAAATAAAGTTAGGAATTTTAAATATCAATCAATTAAAAGCAGGTTTGTGCTCAGGTCGGTGTGGCCCAGTTGTTTGGAGGGTTGTCCTGTAACCAAAAGGTTGTGGATTTGATCCCAGTTTGGGGCACGTATCTAGGTTGCCAGTTCATCACCTTCCCTTTCTACTCGAGGCAACTCCTGGATGCTTCTTTTCCGCCTTGATGTTTATGTCTCTCCCTTCCTCCATCTCTAAAAGCAATGAAAAAATGTCCTCCGGTGAAGATAGTTGCGTGGAGCCACGGGTCACCTATTTGATCCGGCATCATCAGGGCACCTGCGTGTGAGAGGCAACCCATCGATGTTTCTCTCTTGTATCATATTCCTCTCCCTCTCTCCCTTACTCTCCCCCTTCCAAAAAATAAAAATAAATAAAATTTTAAAAAGAAGATGCAAAGGATGGGATGTAATTATGTTAATCAGAAAATTCTCAGGATGAGAATGTCACCCAGTTACTTGACGTGAAGTGGTGAACACACCATACAATATACAGATGATGAATTATACAATTGTACACCTGAAACTTACGTAATTTTTTAACTAATATATTCTATAAAAAAGAAAAAAAAAGAATGTTACTCAGTCAATTGTACTGCAACCTGTGTAAAGAGTGTGCTAACCAAACGGTCTGGTTCAAGAGTGGAATCTGGTTCCCCACCGCCACTTCTCGGTCTGCATCTGGTGGAGAAATACCCTTGGGCATCTTCTTCCTCTTCATTAAGTTACCGGTGGTGTAGCACTTAGCTTTAGGTCTTCTATTTCATGGCACCATCACTCTAGGCAGATTCAAACTCCAACTGTTGGGGGGACTGTGGACAACACTCTACCTTGACCCCAATTCTAGGTCCTCAGTTCCAGGTCCCTCTCCTGGACTCCACTCCCACTGCTGAATGATGGACTCCACAGTCTTTCCTCAGTAATTTGCATCCACTACATCTTCGACCACAGGCTGAGAACTCCCAAACTAGTATCTTCATTCCACAGCTCTCCTCAGCTAGCTTCAGATAGCAAACAGCTCCCGGGACATCTTTCGTGGCAGGTCCCCAAGGCAAATAATATTTGAAACTTAAAGTGCCTTAAACAGAACTCCTCTTGTCCCCCAGTTACTTCTTTTCTGTTGCATATTAATCATACCAGCCAATGCTTCAAAAAGCTTACTAAATTCCAGGCACTAATTCAGTGCTTTTCAATGAGATACATTTTCTTAATTGATTCTTAGGACAACTGTAGAAAGAGATATATATTACTATTATTTCCATTCTATAAATGAAATTAAGGGACTTCCTTGAAAGTCCCACAGCTCAAAAGTGACATCTGGAAGCAAAGACAAGCCCCAGTGACCAAGTTTGTCATCACTAGGCAACCTTGACTCTCTTTTGTCTTGGCCAGTGACTTCTCTGTATGTTTAAGTTCTCAAACTAGAAAACTAGAAAGCAATTTCTCTTTTCCTTGTCTTGGCACATACAAGTACTTAAAATCTAGATGACTGCTAGAGTCTTCTAAGTGGTCTTCAGACTCCCCCCCCCCCCCGCCCACATTCTAATATATCCTCCACATTACTGCCAGAATCATTTTGCTAAAACAGCTGCCAAAATGGTCATGTCATTTTTCAGGTTTTATTTTTTACCATGGCTCTGGTTCCAAATTCCTGGTAGTGACTTAAGTGCCCTCTGTAATCAGCCTGTGCCTTCCTCATCCTTTTTTCCCCCTCTCATTCTCCTACACACTCCAAACCCTATTCTCTGTGATGTTACAGAGAGATCAAGTCTATAGTTAAAAGTAGACATGATACCACATTTGATTTCATATCAGCTAGCATTGGATTAGACTAGAATGGTGAAACGCTTGAGATTATTTCCTTTTGAGGGGAATGATTTATGTTTTAGAGCCTCAGTGATTTTTCTATAAAAGTTAAATAAGCTCTTTAAACTTTATTTGATATATATTTCTTTCAATCTGTTGTTTATAAATTTAAAATTTCAATTGTATTACATTTATTGTGCAGAAATGTTAATTATTAAAATGGGGAACTACAAATAGGTTTAACTCTTAACAATCAATTTCTCTGTTCATTTATCTATTCAATGAATATTTATTGAACACTTATAATATGCCTGCCAGTGTGCTAGATGCTGAGCTGTAACAGGTTCCGGGAGAATCCCTAACTTCAAGGAACCTACAGTCTTGGGGTGAGCGTAGGTAGGGATGGAAGGATAGGGAACATGGAGATGAACAATCAATGAGAATACATTGTGAAATTGCTAAAGGAGGGTGAACGTTGAGGACCTTGGCCATAGCACTTAGGGTGGGAAAGCTTTCTCTGAATAGATGACATGGCAGCTGCACTATGAATGACCAGAAGGAGTCAGCTGGCCACTGCCATGAGAGGGAAGGGACTGTTGTTTCCAGTGGGAAGGTTCTGTTATGGGAATTGCAGATGCTTCGGTTACTTTTGGGTGCCAGTGGGGAGAGGTAATGGGGAGAGGTGAACTGAATCTTGAAGGATCCTATTTGTCTGCAAAGAAATTGTAGGTTTATCTTAAAGTCAATGGGCAAGGGGGAGGGACCAAGGGAAAAAGGAAAAAAAAGAGAAAGAATTCGTGGACGCGTGCACAGTGTGGCGATGGGGGTGGGGGCGTGAGGGAAGGGGGGCGGTCGAAGCGGGCAAGGGTGGGTGAATGGTAACGGGAAAACGCAATACAAGTAAGTAAATAAACAGAAAAAATAAAGTCAATGAAGGACTTTTGCAAGCATTTAAGCCCTTGGGGGACGGTTCAGGTGACTTGATCAGACTCACTTTTGAAAGGGCCTCTCTGCAGGGAGACACTGGGGGATGCCACAGGGGCGAGGCCCGAGGCTGGCAAAAGACGGTGGGTGCCTGAACCGATCTGATGCGCTTTCTTTTCTTTTCTTTTTTTGGCAAAGAGAGTGGAGAGTGGTGGGTGCATTGAAGAGATTTCAGAAGTCACAGGATTTCATGGTTGTGAGCTGTAAAAGTTGGTAGCTTTGTGAGCCCACCAACCCTTTCTGGACAGTCTTCCCGGGCTGTGTGGGCAGCATCTCCTCACGGAGCGCACAGTGCGGTCAGCCTTCCTCTGCCTCTCAGTATATAACAAAGGGAAACCAGCTTTATGGATGACACCCCGCGGGGGCATTTTGTATTGGATTGAAAGGGGAAGCATGAGTCTCCGTAGGAAGAATTTCATTCATAAGCGTTCGGGAAAGTGTTTTTGAGGAGCAGTAGGGTTTGGAGTTGGGCCAGCAGAGGATTTTTTCTGCCAACCCTAGAAGACACCAGTGTTTGAGCAGAATAAAGCCATTTGAATAATAGCAGGGTGCCTTTTTCTTTGCCCAAAATGTTTCATTTCTATGTTTTTAAATTTCTCACTCTTTAAAAAATTTGTTTTACTAGAAAGGTCTTCTCCGCTCTGATAATTTTTTAAATTCTCCCATTTAGGGGGGATACTTTATGGTTTTATTTTTCATGTTTATATATGCTGCTCATCTGTTGTAAGGCCTGAGGTATGGATTCAACTTTATCTTTTTCTTATAGCTACCCAAATGTCACTGTTTGTTCAATAGTCTTTGTTTTTCCTATAGATTTGAAGAGTCACCTTTATCATATATGAATAAGAAATGAATTTGAAAGATGGGACATACATGGCTGTGAATCCTCCAATTGAGAAAGAGAAATGGACTCTGCAGGGAAGAAGGTATAATTGTAAGGCCTGAGTCCTTGAAAAGGAGAGAACAGCAAGGGGGGTGGGGTACTTAGAGCAAGGCCGGGGCACATCACCCATGACGGCAGGAGGGGACCTGGAGACTGGGTGGACGCAGGCAGTTTGGTAAATATGGTGATGGGAAGAAACATGCTTGGTTTTCAATAGCACTTACTATGAGCCAGGCACAGTTTTAAGCATTTCGAATGAGTTTTCTCATTGAGAAAACTTGGAGGACTTTCTTAAAGACCTTGTGAAGTAGATGCCCTTACAGTTCACATTCTCTTAATCCAGAAGGGGTTTTGGAAATAGGTTGTTAACTGAGTATGTCAGTGAGCAGGTACCCTACTTCTGTGGTACCCTCCTTCTGTGGGTACCTTACTTATAAAGGTTCTAAGATGAGGCTAGGGACTGGATAATAATAAAATCATGAGGAAGATGTGGCACTGAGGGTGGAAATGGAAGTGAATAGAGCCTCTAGGAAGAGAATCTGACAATGTAAGACATAGCAACCAACATAAAACGAGAGAGAATGTATTCCTAATACACCTAAATATGTAAGCATTATAGACAGAATGCTGTCAGTTTGTACCATCAGTCCTGGGGCTAGAAATGACTGTCTGTTGTTGCTGGTCTCTGGGTGCCCCCACGGCTTTTGTTAATTCTCTTAACTTTGCCCACATCTCTTGAGTCCCTCAAACCCACATCTGGTAAGCTCTCTGCATGAAACTGTTTCCTGCTGGCATCCAAACAGAAAGTTATCTTTCTTATATTTGAATTCGTCCAGGGACCAGAGCTTAATATTTTACTTACCGTTTTCAGTCCTATTTTTAAAGTAATGGTGTAGTTGAGAACGGCACTAATATTTAGGGTGCATTTATTGTATGTTGAATGCTACGTACGCTTCGTCTGACTTATTTCCCACAGAAATTTTGTAAGGAAGATTGTACTACACGAGAGGATGGACTTGAGACTCAGGGGTGCTGGGCAGCACCCTGGATCCTACAGTTAATAGGCAGCACAGGATGCATTTGGTGTAGAGCTGGGTCTATCTGACTCCACTGTTTGCTCTCTTTCCCTTACACC